ACCCTGTTTACTATCAGTTATATTATAGCACTTACAGTGTACATGCAATGATAGAAAGGCTCCACAACGTAGGCAAATAGCAGTGTTTGAATCAGTAGTCTGATATGCAGCGTTCTGCAGTGCACGTCGTAACAAGAAGGCAGTGTGTTTAATCTGATACTGTCGGGTGACAGCGAGCGAGGCACTGGGATTACAGGCAGTAGTACATGACTTAAAACTTTTTTTTCCTTTGGGACACATCCATCATTATTTCAGAGCGTGCTGTCTAGCGTGTTGTAGTTATCTTTGAAGTTCTTTAGCTCCAGGAAGTTCCTGGGCCTCTTGCTGCGCTGCTGCGCTGCAGATGTGAGGTAGGTGGTTTGGGTGGGGGACGAGGAGCAGGAGGAGGGGCTGCTGGGCTCGGTGGTGCCGGTCAGGTCTCTGGCTGCGGCCTGGTGGTGTTGGCTCAGTGTGCTGCCGCGAGACTTCACGCTGAAGCAACAGAACAGAAAAGCAGATTGCTTACTGCGCAATTGACATTCTGTGTTGGGATTAAGGCAAAATCTGGGAAGGAGCAGTGTGGGAAGGGGTGGCGCTTTCTTACACAGCGGCTAGCTCAGTTAGAGCTTCCTGGTACTTGATGAACTCTGCTTCTCCGAAAGCCTGAGGACACAAACAGAGAAAACTGAATTCATCATGTGCTACTCAGACAGAAATTCGCTTTAGTTTGATACGTGAGGTTTGCACAAAATCCTTCTATGGCAGCACTATGTGAATGTGTTTCACCATGACTGCTGCACATCTCCAAACGGATTGAAGAAATGACCAGACCTTGAAGAAGTCACAATGCTTCACATTTGATTAAAACTACTAAAAACGCAGTAGGAAGAAAACAAAGGTTCGGCTTTTGCAGGACTATGAGAAAACTCTGGTTTAGCAAAAGATGAATGTGCACATTTAACAAAAACTTATCATTTGGTTTCCTGTTGTACTGCGTCATATCATTGATGGTAACACAATTCAGATTACTGCAGTAAATGAGAGAAACCGCTGACCTCGGCCCCATGGCGTGCTTTGTTGTAGCCGTCTAGCACCGTGTCTATCAGAGAGCTCTGCTTGTCTCGAAACATGCAGTGGGAATTTCGCAGCTGCAGCAGCCAGGCCCGAAACCTTTTTGCCGTCACAGCGGTGGGAGTGCCACCCAGTTCACGGAAAGGAAAATCTAAAGAAATCAGAGGAAAGATGTCGATGTAGGAGATGGGATTATTTCTCTTGCAATTGCAGAAAAAAAACTGATATTACCAGTGTCCCGGACAGCGTCTAGTGCTTTCATCCTGTACAGGTAGTCATCAGAACCTATAAACATGAACACACAAAACACGTCTCTATCAGTGGTATTATTCCTGATGGTTGCGGTACTCATGTACAGGCTTTGTACGCTCTGACCAGACTGTCGTCTCTGTGTTAGTCGGTCATCAGCTGGGGACAACAGACGGGGCTCAAAGTGGATTTTCTGGACCTCGCACAATTTGGCTTCAATTACTTGTTTCAGCTCCTACAAGACCAAGAAAAAAAAAAGAAAAAACTGGTAAATTAACAACTAAAATACTTTGCCGGATCAAACTTGTTATGTGCGTGCGTGCGTGCGTGTGTGCGTGCGTGCGTGCGTGTGTGTGTTCCACCTTCGGAGCATTGTGGCCAATGGGAACATGTGGTCCTCTCCGAGACTTAATGGCAAAGTGCATAATTTGTCTTTTTATAAAGATGAACAGCAGAACAAACACCTAAACCAAAGTAGAAGAATAAAACAGCCTTTTTAAGCTCTTTTTACAGGTGTATGGATATACAAAGCTTAGCCAGAACATTAAAACCATCTGCCTCGAGACATGCAGGTCCACCTTGTTGACAGTTGAACAGGTTTGTCCTGATGGGACACAGAAACTATGGACTTTCCTTTTCTTTATGTGGGAATTTGACCCTGTCAGTCTGTCTGCAGTAATGGGAGTTTCACAGCAGAAATCTGTCTCATAACAAGACTGTTTGCTTTATTTGGAAGAGGTGTCTTCATGAAAAAAGACAGTGGAAGGCAGGGGGGAATAAACAACTAATTTTAAGCTATCTTGGTTTGTTTTTCTTTTTTCTTTTAAATACAGAATTTTGGTTATTTGTATTATACGTTTTGTTTTCAGAAGTTAATTAACTTGAACTGAGGTGGTATTACAGCAACAGAAATTGAATAACTGATTTTGACTAAAGACGAACACTTAACAAGCAAATGAAGCAAAATTGATAGCAAAGCATGGGCCAGACGCCAGTATGATACGCCACGGTTTTTAAAAGTTAGCTTGGAAACTGATCAAATATTGTGTTACACTGCCCCTAAAATTTGAAGTCATTCTAATGAGAGGCAACAATTTTCCCTGGCTGCATTAAAGTATATAGTAACATATTGCTGTGCACTTTCTATTGAAAAGTAAAATCTGCTAGATTAGAAATACTTCATGCTGCGAAAAACAGCCTGGGAATCCAGTTAACAAGTCACAAGCACCGTATTTGCTAAGCAGCTGGCAAAGGTAGTAGTAGCAGATTTGGTTTAAATAAATGCAACTAGATCATGTTCACTTTTTCATTCAGACTTTTTAGAACCAGATACGTTTTATCTGGTTAAAACTTAAACAAACCTTCAGAAATCATGAAACTCACCAAAATGCCGTAAGTCAAAACAAGAAACACGTTCACTTTTGAGGCTCCATATTTATCTTTGTCCATTATTAAAATGTGTTTTTCTTCAGATTAACCAGCTAAAAATCGTTTCTCAGTAAATTAAAACTTGTATATTCATTCGATCTGAGGCTTCCTTTAGGTTTCCGCTTAAAAAATACATTATAAAATGTCTAAAAAGTAAAACATCAGGAAGGTGCAGGTCGCTACACTCCCTGCTTCCTTTGTTGACTTCCGCAATAATCACGTGACTGACCTGATACCGGAAAGAGAAAGATTCTGACATAAAATCCGATTTGAAGCTTATAGTTCAGGACTAACCTAAAGTAGTTTATGGCTCAAAATAATTTTCTACCAGTGCTTTTCACGACAAGAGTGTCCATGTTTTTTGGAACAATATAAGAATAATCTTTTCATTTCACAAAGCCTCGCCCATTCTTGAAGTAAATCAATTTGTCTACCGACGTAGATGTTGCATGACGAAAAAGGGATAGCTAGTTTAACTCTTAAATATATTGTTTACTGGTAAAATAAAAGATTATTTTGCTAGATTATATCAGCAAATAGAACTAGCAGTTCTATTAAAACGAACTGCTAGTAAAAGTGCGTATGTTTTATAATCCACTTTTAGTTTTACATCGTCATATCTATTGGACATCCCTTAGAATTTAAACTATGAAAAACAGCACATTGGTTTGATTTGTTAAGAACACAATTTTGTAGAGTATCGGAGGTAGTTCGCAAAACTTCTTCTGATCATTTAAAAAAATAATAATATTTGTGGTTTTCTTCGTAACACCATATTTTTCTTCGCTTTATATCTAATGTGAAACTCTAAAGCACACACATACCAGATCACTCATTCCCACAGTTTCGCATGACACAATTGATACTCAAACGTCTGGCACTTTTGGCTCAAAGAAAGTGCCACTCACAATGTGTCAGTGACGCACGATTTGTCCTAGTCCAGTATTCTTCTGCTGCCACCTGCTGATGGTTTCACTTCACTGAAGAAACAGAAAAATCACATTCAAACGACTGAAATCTTTTAGGAAAGATTAAGAAACCCTTTTTATGTATCATATTGTGTAAAGGTTTAATCCAAACAGTGAATTTCCCAGCATCCACTGTTTTGCCTTTTATTCTCAATGTTCCCATGTTGTTTTGCTCTATGTTGCTCAAAAAGCCAATTCCAGTCCTTATGACATTTACAGAGTCCTACACCATAAATCAAAAAATCTATTTAAAGCAGCAGTGGCCCTGTGTAAGGCAGACCTTCATTTGCATCCATCTGCAGACACACTGAGGGTCTTTCTTCTGTCACAAACAAGTGTGGGTGCCTGTGGAGTTGTGTCTGAGCTATTTACCCCCACTCACACACTTTTCCCAGCCCAGAAAGGCACCAGCCCTTACATCTGTACTGCAAATCCTTCACTGAGAAAATAAGACTACCGGCAAAAGGTTTCTTGAAATTACTGAGTTTAATTCAGCTTAGTTTAGAGCTTAGGCTCTGACAGAAATCAACCCTTCTCATATTTAGAGCAGCAGTAACCACAGTTTCCTTTGTTTAAACAGACGACGAGGCGAGAAGCAGGTGCATGCAAAACAACAGTGCCAGGAGGATGACGCACCCCAAGTCTACAACAAATCCTGTAAGTACATTTAATGTTAAATTTATCTGTTTTGTCTTTGTGATTCTGTAGAAAACATGTTTGCTCACTACCCCACTAACTGGATATTAATAAACTGCAATGTAGTTCTTTCTATCTTATTGCTCTGCCTAAGTTTTTCAACCAGCATATGTGTTATACACACAGTTATGTTGAAGCTATGACCCCAGAGTTACACATAAAACGTTAATATCCCTGTTGGTTCTTTCAGCTCAGTTTAATTGCGCACTGTTAATTTGTGTTTTCATATATCGACTCCGCTTTGTTTGACATTGTGTCAAGGTGAATGTAATTATCGTCTTGTGGGAAATGCCAATCATGCTCATTTCACACAAGTTTCACAATTGCTTCTCCTTTATCTGGAGGCTGAAATGCTGATGTCACACTTCATAGGCTGAAGAATGTGTAGATCGTACGTAAACATAGCAAACCTAACTGCGTTTGTTGGTAGGTGTGTGTGTGTGTGCATATAGAGTCCTTTGAAAAAATATTTCCCCCTTAAAGACTTAAATATTGTTTGCATGGTTAAATACTGTTTTCCCTTCTTTGTCAGGTGTACATAGAGTAGAGTAGAAATCAAATAGACACAGAATAGAAATATACTTTATTGTCTCACAATATCAGACCGATCCAACAGACATATCAGTCGATCAATAAATGAAAATCCAGTTATTACTGTCAATGTGCTTATTATTGTAGGCAAGAGGATTATGGAAGCAAAAGGAAAGAACACAATTTACCGGTGCAAACGTCAACATCTGAAGGCTTGAACAGGTTAAGAATCAGACATTAGTCACAGCACCAGTCATGTTTTCCCAGAAAGTATGAGACACTGCTTGATACTTGATGTTTGATGCAGGTTGTTTTTGATTTAAAGCATTTGTCACACCAATCGTTTTTGCCTGGCAAAATATTTTGGCTCAGATAACAACACAGGCTGAACCTGAATTTAAGTACGGTCCTTCTCTGGACGGTTCAAATAACAAAATTAAGTCTTTGTTGTGGCCTAGTTAAAGTCTGGACTTCAATCCAATTGCAATCCCGTAGTGTGAAACAGGTTGCTCATGCTTAAAAACTCTCAAATGTGGCTAAACAATCAATTCCTCAGCACAACTGGTTGGCACTTAACACAAAGGGCTGATGGCAATTGTTACCGCCAAGGGTGCAGAACCAATTATTAGGGTTAGAAGCTCAGGTTCATTTCAATGTCTTATTTCCCTCAATTAAGAAAATAAATGTTTGTTGATGGCAAAGTTCATTTAAATAACTTATGGAAAATCAGAAGAAATCTGCAATGGAGCAAATGCTTTTGGACTACTCTGCAGAGAGGACTAGACTCTGCAGTTAGGAATGCTACCCTGCAAGGGTTGAAAACAATGGCAAAGTGGGAGGAGACAGAATGACAGAGAGAGAAGCTGAGAGGAAGCTAGAGACCCAAGACAGGAAGACAAACCAGTGTAGCAGGTTTGCGTCACTGTACGCAGTTCATCATGCAAAGCTGATGGAAAGAGAAGAAGAGCGACAAAGAGAGAAAGAGAGGAGTTTGGTGCTGATGTCACCACTGAGCGCTGTCCACATCGACCGACATGATGGCTTGGGATGTGATCAGAGGACACGTTTTGTGAAGGTACGGTTGCCGTTTGTGTAAATAAGAAGCCTTGTTTCTTTGTACTCATGCAGGTTTAAAGTTTTATCCCAGGTTACACAGATGGGAGGCTTAGGAAGCCTGCAGCACAGGTGTTTCTGTAAGCTGACACTCGAACTCTCCTACACTGGAAAGCACCTCTAAAGGCTATTATTAAGAAAATACATACTGTAATATAGACTCAAAATGCTTCAAACCTTGACAAGTGATAGTGCTTTGGGTTTTTAGACTTTATATTTGAATAATTATTGGATTTTTTTCTTATCAGTCATCACTCTGGGACAGTTTCACCTGTTGGAAATGCCTGTTATGTTGCTGCTGTACACTCAGATCGACGATAAGACATTGTCTGACAGCAATATCATCTTTCTCTCAGTGGCCTGTATGGAAATTAAGCTGGTTTTGTCATTATCTGTTGTTACTTTGTCTGCTTAATGTATCTGAATCCACTAGCACAAGATTTTTCAATTAGTTTGGCTGTCTCACTGAGACCGATACATACTGATGTTACGGTGGCGATTTAAAAGCATTGTTTTTAGCTGAGTAGGATTGCTGTAAGGTGAGTTTTTCCAGTTTTTGGTTCAGGTTTTGCCAACAAGTTGTCTTGACCTTGCTGCCTGTATAAACAGAAAACACGGTGTGTGTGTTTGTGTGTGTGTGTGTGTGTGTCAAAAGCAGAGAGCTGGTCAGGGTTGGGGTGTTTTATTTTACTTTGACTAGAAAGTCATGAAGACAGTAAAATATTGTAATATTAGATGACTGAAAAGTTCAAAGTAATTTAGTTTTTTTTTATGTTTTCCTTCCAGTTAATATTGTTTTTTTTTATATATAGTGGCCTGCAAAAATATCCATACAATTTTAATATGTATACACTTTCACACATTACAGTTTTGTTGAAACACTAACACAAAGTTTCCACATTATTCAATATAATAATGAAGTGGAAGTAAAAAAACAAAGAAAGATGTAATCTTGTTTTCTTCAGAAATACGAATCTGAAAATTTTGGCCAGCACATTAATTAATGTGTATTTAATAATTTTTTTGCTTTTGAGGTACGTTTCGTCCAACTCTACACACACACACACACACACACACACACACAAAACTTCAAGTTGTTCGCAAAATAGCTCAAATTTAGTCAGACTTAAAAGAGAGAAACTGTAACAGTCGTTTTTAAGTTTTGTCACAGATTCCCTGTTGGATTTAGATCTGGACTTTGATTACGCCATTCTAACATATGAATATGCTTAAATCTAAACCATTCTATGGTAGCTCTGGTTGTATTATGGTCCTCTAACGAAAATACGACTTCCTTTCAGTAGCCCTGTGCTTAGCGCCATCCATCTCCGACTAGTTTTCAGCATCCTGCTGAAGAACAGCATCCCCATCAGCATGCGTCTTGCCACACAGTTTTTTTCAAGTTGATGAAAATATTCAAATTTGTTTTATTATTTGGTTTATTCTAAAGGTTTGGTGTATTGACTTCTCTAACACCGACTCTTTCATAAAAGAAAGGATCTGTTAGATGTGCTCCTTGGTCGTAATGATGCTATTTGTTGGCTAATGTTTTTAACAAGCCTATAACGTCTTCATAGTACATCTCTATTTATGCTGCAATCAAATTATACATACACAGACTCTCATTAGTAATAATGTAACTGCTGCAGCCTTTTGCTTGATTTTATATATGGGGTTTAGATTAAAAGAATAGGATACAATTCCTCACCAAGCATTTTACAATTGTATTCATAAAAAATGTTCATGTAAAGAAATTGAGACATTTTCCTTGTCCTTCCCAGATATATACAAGTTTGGGTGGTCTGCCACATAATACCCAGTATTTTATTGGAATGACACATTCCAATGAAATGTGAAAGTGTCATTTTCTATTGCAAAGAGCAATATTTTTGCTACTTTAATTGCTCTCTAGTAAAATTATCTCTTACATCCTAAATGTATTGATCACTGTGAGCCTGTTTGACTGTTTCTGTTATACATGTCAAAATGTATAATATACATGTTCTTCCTAGCCTTTTCTGAAGACTAAAAATTTACCTTTTTTACATTTGGCAGGTCCTGGAAGTTTGTCACTGAAGCTGAGAATTGACATTTGAAGTCTCGGAAAACAAATTCAGAAGAGGAACCAAAGAAGACTGTCTAAGTGCCAACCATGTTTAGGGATACATCCAGAGTATTTTGTTTTTGAAATAAGCTTTTTCTGTTTTATTGCAAAAGTTCTTCAAAAAGACTGGGACCTGTCAAACATCAGTATCTACTTGTCTCTTTTTGAGAAACACAATTTTATTAAAAAAAAAAAATCTTTTTTAACTCTCAAACAATGGACCTGCTCCCACCTTCAACAAGTGAAAATAACCCACAGAGGACGGGTACACGCTTCACTGTCCGCTCAGCTAACTCTCCTTCGTACAGTCTCAGTCGTAGGACAGGGATAAGGAAGAGGCTGACAGCTGAGAATGCTGATGACACCAATTGTTCAAACACAAAAGAGGACTTGGGTTTTGTCTACCAGAAAGACATCAACCAGAATGATACAGTCGAGAGAAGTCCCCAAGAGAATGGGACTGATGCTGGAGGAAGCCTGGCACTCCATGGCCTGGGCAGGACAGAGGGAAGGGGAGGCAACTTGCCAAACAGAAGTATGAGTTTAGACTGGAGATCAAAGCCAAGAAGGACTGCCACAGCTGGCGAACCCGGATTGCTTGGTAAAAAAGAAGCTAGAGGTTTCGAGGAAGGAAGGACAGAAATTGAGAAAATACCGAGAGGTCGGGTTTCTTCCTCAAGTCCAAGTTACTTTGAAGACAATCGCTCAGTAAATCACAGTGACTTTGCAGACAGAGTCAGTAAGAACAGCACACTTCCTGTCAGATTTAAGACTGAGTCTGGGCCTGGCTCGAGGCTCGACTGTCCGTCAGGGACCCAAGGTGGGCAGAGCATCAAAGAACGCATACAGAAACTCTTTGAATCTGCTGGTGATACAACAGCTGGGGGAACCTTTCCCAGGCGGTTCTCATCGTGTGACGACTGCATTCCGGTGAGAAAAGCAGCGGCAACCATGTGGGCTCCAAAGGAAGCAAATCCTCCAAGCTCTGAGACGTCAGCTTCTTTTGAGACAGTCAAACTCAAAGGGAGATCAACAGACACACGTAGGCAAGAAGAGTTAAGTAGCAAGTATTTAGGGGAAGATGGTTACTGGAGGGAGACAATAGAAACGGGCACAAAGTCCTTGGACAGAGCGAGGAGCAGGAACACATTCGCAGGTCGAATTAGGTCTGCCAGGACCGCAATTGGCATGGTACAGCCCCAAACATATGAAGAATCCATGCTTACACAGAGAAAATGGTACAATCAAGAAGACAGAAGAACAGACGTGACTGAAATTAGTAAAGCCCAGAAGAGCAATAAAGAAATAGATGAAGGAACAAAACAACAAAGTAAACCCTGGAGTGGAATTGGAGACGACGTTTTTTATGCAAAGCCAAGTGAGGGCACCCTGCCATCGCCAGAGTGGAAAAAACTTCCAGAGATTCAGTCCTCCTCTTCAGCCAGTGTGAGAAATAAGATAAATCAGTTTGAAGCTCTGACACAGAGAGCAGCAAGCGAAGTACAGATCGTAAGGCGAACTTTCTCTGTACAGGCACAGCCCTGCCAACCCCAAAACAGGATTAAGAAGAGCGGGTCCGCAAAATACATAGGTGAGCGAAGCTATAGGTGGGAGACGGAGACAGATGGAAGCAGTGAAAAAAGGACAATGTTTGCATCAGAGAAGTCTTTATCACTGGTTGACTTAGGAATCAAACCAGGAATGTCAGAGACAGATTCAGGTAATTCATTAGACAGAAGGGAAAACGATTTATCCAGCCACAAGAAAACTTTGCACATCCCTCTCAATGAAGGAGCGCAAAAGCGCAGCAGATTTCTTTTCGCCAAGGACTCAAACTTGAGAGACACTGTGACATTAACACATACATCAGACATGCAGCCAAGGCCACAGTGGGAAATTTCTTCACCAGTTAGTGATGATGACAAGACTCCAACAAACACCCCTCTGAACACCTCTCCTTTTCCTTCTCCCTTCCAAGAACCAGAGGGTTTCTTTCCCATTGCAGATAACATGAGCCTTCATGTCACTGGGCAAGAAGTCAAAGCTAAAGACACAGACTCTACTCTTCCTCCTCCAGTCATTCTCTCCCAGACCAGTGAGTCAGACGTTTTCATAACAGACAACGAAAAACCTAGAGACAATGATTCCCTAGATCTCCCTCCCGACACTTCTTGCCAAAACAACTTGTCGGATGTCTCCTGTTCAAATATAAAAGCAGAATTACCTAAAGGGAGGAAACAGCTGTTGGATCTGAAAGCATGGATAGCCGGCCTGGACCCAGAGTATAAAACCTGGAACGAATACATGGAGGGGAGTGAGGATGATGATGAAAGCACACAGAAGGATGATGATTCAAACGACTCTGACTCTGGGGATTCTTCAGCGACCATAACGAGCAACACGAGCCAGTCAGAAAACAGGAGTTTCAGCCTCAGGTAGCTTATGTTTGCATTATCGGATTTCTTGTTTCATGGAAGTTGTAGTTAAAGTGACTTACTTGTTTTCTTCTCACACTCATGCTGCGTCACAGTCTTTCAAACTTGTGCTACTTCTCTGGTACTGACATCGAATCAGATAATGACGATGATTGGCAGCTGCCAGGCCGACGATCTGCCTCATTAAGCTCAGATGTCTCTGCCTTTTCCTGCGTCTCTCTGCTTCCCTCTGATGAGCTCGACAAGCTGGTAGAGGAAGTCAAGAACCTAGGGGAAGAAACATTACAGGTACAGGAGATGAAAAATGTTTTAAATTATTTTTCTTATGCCAGTGTTTTAAGCAAATGATAACTGAAAAAAACGTGTTTGTGTCCAACTGCAGTAAATAAAGGCTAAAGAATCATAATTTTCTTAGGTGGTGAGAGCTAAACTATTTCCGTTTATAGGAAACATTTGGTCTTCTTAAGGTCTCGTGTGTTTCAGGAAGAAAAGGTGAAACTATTGTTTCCCATTTGTTTGTTTCCAACCAAACTAACTTTGTCTCTGTAGTAAAAAAGCTCTGAATGCTAAAGTGATCCATCTGCATTCCAGTAGCATGTGCAAGGCCTGCATGCAGAGCTTGTGTGAGTGTGCAAATGTACTCCGAGGCGTGTAATGTTGAGACAGTGCATTCAAGTTAGACTAACATTTTCTTGAGGGACTCTGCATTTAAATTTTTGCCATTTTCTTCAAAACTTAATTTGTTTTTAGAATGAAAAGTATTATGGCACTAATATTTTTTCTCTTTCTTGTCTGTCTTGCAGGACTACGATGATGTACAGGTGGTGGTTCTGCACAAGGAGGTGGGAGTAGGACTTGGCTTCAGTCTGGCAGGGGGTGTAGACCAAAACAAACCTGTCACTGTAAGGACATCGCCCATTTCTCTTTCTCCCATGGTAAATGTCATGACAGTTTCTGTCTTCATTTTTCTGCTGTCTCATTATCTCGCTTTCAGGTGCACAAGGTTTTTAACTCAGGCGTTGCAGCCCAGGAGGGTTCGATTAGTGAGGGAGACCACGTCTTGTCCATTAACGGCACTGCCTTTTCAAAAAGTACTCACGGGGAGGCTCTGAGGACCCTCAAAAAGGCAAAGAGTCGAGAGATGGCAGTGGTGGTGGTGAGGAAAGGTGACCTCAGTCAGACAGAGACTCAGTATGAGACAGGTGAGAGGCGATGCTTTACAAAGAGTCTAAACATGTGAGTCTTTGACATTGGAACTTAAAGTAAGTACAATGTGTGTGTATTTGTACACTTTAAAGGCCAGCGTGTGTGTATCCAGCTCGAGAAGAACAGCAGGGGTCTGGGTTTTAGCCTGAAGGGAGGTGGGGATTCCTATCTAGGGAACAGACCACTCACCGTCCAGAAGATCTTCCAGCGTAAGAACATCAAAAACACTATTTGAACATCAAGGAATAGACCAATATCACTTATTAAATGAAAACCATTAGCAAGTTCCTCAATTTCATCATACTATATTACATTACATTTTATTACATTACATTACATTATATTATATTGCTGTATGGCAGCTCTCTGTAAGTTGTGGTCAAATGGAGGAAATCATATCATAAATCAAATTATTTAAGAATTTGTATCAGAAGTAAGAAACACAGTCAGTCTTTAAGAAAACCTAAAAATGTTTGCAACTTTTAATCTGTCAGTAGTTTTCTCCAGCAATCAAACTATTTGTTTTTCCAGTTTTATGTTTGTCAAAATATTGGGTATGTTGGAAGTATTTTGGGTTCTTTTCTTTTGTGCTGTACAACAACATGTGGCTCTAAAACTGAAATGATTTAGGAGATTACCCTATATGTGTAATATAGAAGATAATATGTGAATTTCTGTTCAGCTTTAATTCAAAATATTAAATAGACAAACTGAGTGAAATAGCAGTCCCATGCCTGTTTGCTTGTAGTTTGGGCTAAGCTAGTAGGGCTTTTAAAAATAACTTTTAATTGACATCTTCCTGTTAAAATATTTTTTAATATAGCCTTTTGAAAAGCCACTGTCATATAAAGTTGTATTTAATTTTTTTTTTCTCTTTTCAGGTGGTCCTGTTGACAAGGTGTTCCCTGGTGATGAGATTTTAGAAATTCAAGGCTTCAGTGTGGTGGGGAGGAGACGCCTGGAAGTGTGGAATTTCATCAAAACTCTTGCCTCAGGGCCTGTGGAGGTGGTGCTACGGCGGCCGCTTAAAGTTACGCAATTATGAGGACAGTCCTGATGATTCACCTTGTTCACAATTTAAAGAATGTGGACCAACCAGAAACTCAGAAGCTGTACAACTGACGGCTTTGGATCCTGCCATGGAAACCAACTTTTCAAAACAAAACCGTCTGGACTTTGAATGCGTTGAACAAACAGTCATCATGATGGTATGAGCAACGGAAGTCAAAAACCAGGTCAAAGGTGTACATTTTTCTTATTATGTGTCTTAATGTAAATCTACCTCAAGGCCTGAGATGTTCAGTGTAATAAATTGTATAAATGTTTTACACATTTATAAAACCAACCAACATTTAAGAAGAAAAAATGTTGCAAATATGTAAAAATCTGACACTTAATGTATTTTACAAAATGTGTTTTATTGTGAATAACTACTTTTATTTTGAAGTATTTTTAATAAATACATATATTTTGATTAAATTATTTATTCCTAGTATTACTAGAGAGAGAGGAATATTAACCTGCTTTATGTTGATTGATATATGGGTTCATGTTTTTTTACTCCATTTTAATTTTAAAATGCTTATGAAATATTACTTCTGACTTTTTAATAATCTTTGAGGGTTTGCTAAAGGGAGAAAACGATAACTTTAAAAAAGTACTTTTTATTTTTATACTGTACATTTTTGCAGCACTCTTGTTCGTCTCTTTTTAACGCTGTTTTAGTTGCTGTCCCTTTAAGACCAGACGGTTCAACTTATTCATCGGAAACTTTGAAAGGCAGAGGCTGAGTCTGTATTTGAACTGTGTAAAGTATACGTGGTGGAGAAATGTTAAAACACAGATAAAATTAAAAGTAAGGAAATTTTTGCGTTAAACATACAAATACTGGAGATGTCAGCATTACTAAGTTCAACTGGAGTTTTAAAAAAAGTCCAAGCTGTAAAACACCGTTGCATATAATGTACATGTACATTCTGAATTAACTGAAGCGTGACCTCTTATTGGTCATATTTATTTAAAAAACAGAACTTGTTTTTTGCTAAAGTCAAACCTTTGGAGGTAGACGTGAATATCTGCACAGGCTTCCTTTTGTAATGAAGACAAGATAACAGTATCTGACAATGGCTGTGATAAACTGATAAAGGCAGGCCATGGTAGTTCCTGTATCCACAAAGACAAAACAAAAATAGAAACAACCTGCAGATATGTCATAAAACCTTGTTGTCATCATCGATTAATTTCAAAACTAACGGAAAAAAATATCAAAATAATATTAAACGTGACATAAAAGAATCAGAAATTTAAAACCATAAAATATCAAATCAAGTAAAACATACAAAATGACATAAGATACAAAAAAGTCCGGTGGTTTTAATGAAATTGACTTAATGAAAATTATTTACATAAAAATGGAGCAATGATGTTAAGTTCATCATTCAAAATTGGGTCTGCAGCACAACTGCAAACCCACCAAGACATCAGAGAAGCAGCCAAGAGGCTCATGGCATCTCTGGAAGAGCTGTAGAGATCGACAACTCAGGTGGCAGAAAAACTGAACTTTGCAAAACATGCAACATGTGTCTAGGAAAACCAACAAACCCTGAACACATCATCGCCACGGTGGATGATGAACGATGTTGATGGCAGTATAATGATAATGGGTAACACTTTACTTGAAGGCTGACATAACACTGTCATACACATGACATAACGTCTGTCATGAACATGAATGAGTCTTTATGAATGTCTATGACTGTTGTCATGAAGTGTCATTCGGTAATTAATGACACCAACTTTGCATGATTTTGTAAATAATGGCATTTTAATGCAATGTTGGCATTTTTAATGGACTTTCAATGCAACTTTTAGAGGAACTTTGCATTAAAAGTGTAATTATTTACCAAATGACACTTCATGACAACAGTCATAGACGTTCATAAAGACTCGCTCATGTTCATGACAGATGTTATGTCATGTTTATGACAGTGTCATGTCAATCTTATTCACATCCCATCAAATAAAGTGTTACATGATAATGTTTAAATAAATATTTAAAAAAATTATAAGCAAGTCAAGAGACACTAATACAGAACTAACAAAGGTTTTTTCATTGGTACCATTTTAAGGTTTGTCAGTAAAATCATTAACCAGCTAGAAGGAGTAAAGGGACAGAATAATAGCAAAATAAATGATTATTTAACTTTTAATGAAAGTTAAATAATAGGGTAAACCACAAACCTTCAGAGCTGAAGATGCTTGTCCATAGAGCGCTATATGTAAACATAATGTTGGAAAGTTAAGTGAAAGGAAAAAGGGTGACAGGGAAAACAATTCTTACAATTTAGGGGATGAGTGAAATTTCTAAGTTATTTGATAACCAGAGTGAAGTTTCCACAGACAATGGAAAGTCATAATGTGATGGTCCACTGAGTTTTATCAAGTCCAAAATCCGCACAGTCACCAATCAGGACATTTTAGAGCACTTCATTCTTCCCTAGTGATGAGCTTTATGGATATGCTCTTTTATCAACGGGACTTTGTACCTGATCACACCGTCAAACATGTGACACGTACTAATACCTGATTTAATAACCACAGTGTCCCTGTGCTTGATTGGGCAGCAAGCTGACCCGACCCAGATCTTTACGGCTATGAGATACAGCCACTTGGAAGATGAGACGTATCCAATTCAACAATGCAGATAAGCAGTAGGCTGCAATCAAAGAAAGTTGAGTTGCGGTACCACAGGTGGATCGCCTCCATGCCAACTTCATTGATGCAGTAATTCTTGCAAAAGGAGCCCAAACCAAGTACTGAATGCAGATCCTTCACAGAACATTTTCAGAAAGCTGACATTTTTGCATTAAGAATGCGTTTTTATTCTAATTTACCTGAATATTGTGTTTTCTTTACCAGTAGATCATAGTCATGAAATATGACTGAAAATAACTGTTGAAATAAACCAATGTGTGGAAATAATTTAGATAATATCTATTAAAAAAACCAAAAGTGGGTTTTACTCGTGCATAAATCTGGAGATCAGTTGTCAATGATGCAAAACTCAAATGCAAGACTTGTTTACGTGCTCTTTAGGAAGAAAGTTATAAATGACAAGTTATCAAGTCAAAAAGACACAAATCAGAGTATTGTCTGCAGAAAAGCGGATTATGGTAAATATGACCCAGGGGAAGCATACAGTATGCAATGTGAATACCGTTGATCAGCTACAGCAACTGAAACTGCAGATATTAGACTGAACATTTCTACACTTGCTTCAAAAACTTTCCTCCTGTTGCTGTTACATGTATGCAGCTGCAAATCTAATTTTATTAAATTCGAATTAAATAAATAAAAATATGCTGTGCAGACATGATGCCAAGGATTAACTGTTAAAAAATAGAAGATTGCCATTAACCTGTTGGTCTCAGGTTGTCATTCACAATGACAGGGGTGTCAAACTCCAGTCCTCAAGGGCCGCTGTCCTGCAGTGTTTAGATGTGCCACAGGTAAAAAAAACAGTGGAATGAAATGGCTTAATTACCTCCTCCCTGTGTAGATCGGTTCGCCTGAGCCTTGCTAATGACCTAATTATTCTTTTCAGGTGTGGTGCAGCAGAGGCACATCTAAAAGTTGCAGGACAGAGGCCCTTGAGGACTGGAGTTTGACACCCCTGTCACGAGAGGACCCAAATTTGGGTCCTCTAGTGACAGACAAGATGAAAACTACTGAAACATATGATCAGACATTTTCATCCTTGCAGAAAGCAGGACCGAAGTGCTTCATCATAGAATCGTTTATCTTATCTGTTGTTCACTCTCATTCAGTGCACCTCTGTTGATGGAAATCAAGAGCAATAAAACTTTGATAAAGCAAGTAAATTATTAGGGTTGCATAACAGTCATGGGTTCAGCAGGCAGTCATGCTGACAACATTAGTTGTGATGAAAGTGTTTTATCATCTGCAGCTTAATGTCACACAAGATGATAACAGATCAAAACCAGATACTAGAAGTGTCTCCCTTGGTAATTTGTGGGACAAATTAATTCTGTTCATATCTAGGTATACAGAAATACGAGAATCAAATCTTGTCAGTGAAGCTGTTACTTATATGAGCAGAATCAAATACATTACTGTCATGTCAACTTGAACCAATAGTGCAATCAAATTCATTTCATAATGCCAACTAGTCAAGGGCTCTCTCTCTCTCGCTCTCTCTCTCTCTCTCTCTCTCTCTGTCACACACACACACACACACATACGTATATACTGTATATATCTTAAGGAAGTCTGACAGATTATATTGGGTCAAAGTCACTGACTTGACAACGACCCCTTTTCTGATGCAAGCATGTAACTAACTATATAGTTATTACAATTACAACTATAATGACTTGATGCTCACTGCAAATTTGCTGTACTGGCAACGTATCCAGGTGTTTGAAACACACAGATTCCCCTAAGAACAGCTTAAGTAAAATTAATTCACACTAGATCTTACTTTTAGTGATTACTGCAGGTTCACAGTGATTAAACCCCTGAACGGAAATCTTCATTAGAGCACACATTTGCAAATGTAACTAACAGCAAATCCAGGAAGCACTCCTGCACAGATATTGTTCTAAAGACAATATTATGTTTGCATTTAATAACCGTTTGCATACAAATTATTATCACACCAAACTAATTAATTTCAAGGATTAAAAACTTTCACCGTGGGTTATAATGAGTGTGGTCAGGACGTAGTATAACTCTCTGTGCTTATGTAACTTGCACAGTTCAAACATTTATTTTGGTGTGATGCACTCCATCTGTATCTTTGTGAGTTGGATGCATTGCACATTGTCTTGAATGTTTTGTAGGCTTTGAAATCTTGCTTGATTTGATCGGTACTAATCCTTATTTGTTCTGTGTAATTGAAGAAAACCTTTGATAGGTTTTAAAAATGCTCCAGTGGTTCATTACACTTTATCACAGCTTTCTGATTATATGATTTTATAGCCTCGCTTTATGTAAGCAACCCCTAATAGATGTAACACATCATGTTATCTGCAGCAGCCAATCCTCAAGAGGTTAAATAGGTGATAGTCTTGTCTGATTCTGCAGAGCTGCAGGGTGAACCTGAAGAGAGGGGAGCATCTTTAGACACTCATGTTAGGCAGTCATTTATCTCCAACACGACCCTGTATTCACTAACACAGATCAGATCCTGAGCAGGTTTAGTCAGACTTGTGGGTGAAGAGTGCTGTGACTCCAATCCAACCATGCTGAATCCACGTTTGTTGAGAGTGAGGAGCGCTCTGATCCGACAATGCATGGCTGAGTTCTTGGGAACGTTCGTCTTAATTGTAAGTTACACTAAAGTTTTAACTCATCCTTAAGATCTTTTTTTTTTTTTTTAACAATGACAGCATGCTTATCTGGTTTTCAACCGAAACCGTGCAATTTATGGCAAAAGCAAATAATTTTCCTGCAGTTTTGCAAAGCTAATTCAAAGCTATAGAGACTCGCACAGAGAAATACAGCAGTGAGACAGTTTTATTGGCCCGAAAGTTTTGGCGCTCGGACACCGGCAGACGACGTGCGTGCAGAGAATCTCCGCGAACTTGGACAGTCGGCTCGGGGCGAAGCTCAGGGTGGTCTTCCCCCGGGCCCGGGCACTGGTGGTGGAGCACAGCCTGGAGAGGAAGGATGTGCTCCACCACCAGCGAGCCTGGAAGATGTCCGGGAGGATGAGGGTGGAGACGGGGAAGAGGTGGGTCGAAACGCGGCTGAAGCAGGTGGTTGTTTGGCCTTTTGAAGGAGCTCTTGCGTGGTGATTGGTTGGGGCGGAGCGACAATCCGGTGCTGGTTGGCTGAGGCGGAGGCGTCGTAATTGATTATGCCCCGGAAGGCTGAAGAGAGTCTCACAGGTTGAATTTACTCCTAGACTTCATTTTATGATTTATTGATTTTTCATTGTCAAAGTGATTTCAAGTGGAGATTAAAAATAAAGAAAGAAATCAGGAATTGAAAAGGTTAAAATCCAAACTTATATAAGGTAACTTAAATTGTTCTGCAGGCAATTTGAGAAAATACATTTAAAAAATCCTCTTATAAAAAGACTAGACATGAGAAATTTCTAAAGAATTACATTAAAATTTGGGCATTACATATAAACAAATAATAAGGAAATTTCTCATTTAAAGCAGATACACAAAAATTGATAAAATAGGCTTTTAATTTTAATGGATGACTGGAGCAACCAGTCATGTTTTTAGTAATTTAATATGCAGTTCTGCACATCTCAGGTTTTTATGGAGTGATTACTTCCTGAATGCTTCCTTCCTGATTTAGTTCTGGTCCCAAGACAACTGAGACAACTAGTCTGTAATGATGTGTAAGATTATGTAGGGTTGATACTTGACAAGTAACTATTATATATAATTAAACTCAAGACCATTCAGCACCTCGTAGACACATGATCAGATTTTGAAATATATCCTGTGGCAAAAAGATGATAGATTTTTTTTGTCAATTTAGGGCTGGTGTAATCATACCCTGTTGTTAGTCAGCAGCATTCTAGCTGAGCTGTAGCTGCCTGATCAGAAGTTATTCACACATTTAGAACATTTTATACAAAAGTTAAGAACAGACAAGAACCAAACTACATGAAAAAGAACTTGAAAAAGTAAATAAATATGAAATGGTTTAAAAGAATGAGATCTTGAGAAAATGTAGCACTGTTTTAAAAAAAGCCAAACTCTACATGGATGTATCCTTAGTTTGCTTTGTAGACCGTTTAAGTTGTCCTCAGGTCTTCAGGTGTCTCCCCACAGGTTTTAATTCTTAGTTTAGGTATCAACAGACAACCTTTTCCAAAAGACCTTAGGGGCCTGTAAAAGCAAATAAGATTAAAGTAAGTTGGACTAAGACAGTGGTTCCCAAAGATTTTCTTCTTGGCCTCCCCATGGATTACAATAAAAAACCCCAAAAAAGAAAAAAAAATCAACTGGGCACACATATCGTTCAACCAGACATAAACCCATACACATATTTTGTTTTCAAAGTCCACTGAAGTTTATTTCACACTTCAGGTTTCAACAAAGCAATCTACAAACAAGTGTTTCTTTACAGTGAAACACTTTTGTGTCACTGTTTTTTGTGTGTGTTTCTTTTTAGTTCTATACTGTAGAAGAGTTTTCTTTGCTCTCAGTGTTATTTCAAACATATTTCTTTTTTTTATTTGTAACAAAATTCAACTTTGCTATCATCAGTACATTAAAAAGCCTGTGTGCAAAATGGGGTTTAAACATGAACAGCTCCCTGATAAATTTTTTTTTTCATTCATCTCGCCCCCTACCCCCCACCCCTACCCCTTACCCCCTTGCAATGGCAGCGCGCCACCCCCTAGGGGGCGTCCCACACTTTGGGAACCACTGGACAAGGATCATTACCAGTTTAAAATACCAGTTGAGGCAATTTAATCTATTTTAAATGCACAGGAAGCTCATACAAAGACCTTAAAATGTCTTTGTATGGTGTCTATTTGCATCAATTGTGATAGTTTGTAGAGGTACATTTTGTGCAGCAGTGCATTGCTAATATTAATTGGGAGTTCAAATACCACATAAAATGCAGTTTCTCCCATCACGTGCCGATTCTCTTGGGCCTCCAGATCTTGGTGTGTGAAAGTCTGAGCATTGAGACTGTGACTGAGTTAAAGTGGCTCTTATGTAAAAACACTGAGTAGTTATGTGACTATGAAAGCTCTATAAGCCTGGAGCATTCACTAGATTTAAATGTATGAAGGGCTTTAAATATTTACATAATTATTCTGCGGTTCATTATTTAGAATACAGATTTTTACGCTTATTTTCATATTAGGTTTTAAAGGGATTTTAAAAAAGTATTTAGGACTGTTGTTCTATCAGCTCCAACCTTGGCGATTTTATCTCCAACCTGTAATCACTTGATTTATAGTGTTTTTTATCTTGTTGGTTTTGATATCCTTCACTTGGTTGGCAAATGTATTAGATCAATAGCTATTACAGGAATTTTAAAGACGTAATATTCTTACAACAAAGAGATTAATATTTTATTAGACCACTCTTTGGAGCTAAGTCAGCTTCAGTATTTCTAAGAAGACTTTCCATGACGTTTACAAGCGTTTTATTGTTTTATTTTTTTCCTTCCAGAATCGTAGAGGGCAGATACTAATGTTGGACATAAAAGATATCTGTTTCTAACACCATTTTGGCATCGAATGTTTTTAACTGGACTCACTTTTTCATCAATTTATACCTGTTGATGAATAAATGGCTGCTATGTAAGAATATCGCAGCAAAATGTACATCTACATACTGTATGCCTACCTTCATATTCTTCCCAGTGAAGGGAGTGTTTCTTTTAATTTAAACCTAAGATGACTCTGTTTGTCTGTGTCTGTGTGTGTGTGTGTCATGAAGCTCTTTGGCTTATCAGCAGCAGCGCAGGTAAAAACCAGCAGAGAGACTAAAGGCCAAACTCTGTCGATCCACCTGTCTTGGGCCGTGGGAGTCATGTCAGCCACGTATCTCACCAAGGGGATCTCAGGTAAAAGTTGAAGGCAAGCTGCAGTATTCACAGAAATGTTCTCCGTGTAACGAGTAAACTCACGTTGTTAATGCATCTCAGAAAATGAGAGTGAGAATTAATTGCTGATAAGCAGAAGAATAAGAACATTGACTTTTAGTGCACCAGCTGATTTGAGCCTCTGTTCAAAATGCATCAGTGACATTCAAAGTTTGGTTTTGCGCTACAAGTATCCACGTGTAAAACTTTGAACTTATCTGGTAAGGCACCTGTAACAAAGGAATCGGTGACTATGAATCTTT